GGGGGGGGCTCCTGCTATTTGTCTGCCTATTGCCTTGTGTTTGGGTAGGGCCTTTTATGGAGCAGGGTCTCCTTGGCTGACCATTGAGGTAGCTTATTATCTTCCAGAAGCACATAATGTGTTGCACCCAGTGACTGCATTATAGCAAGCCCCTAAATTGTATTTGGACAAAGAATAATTGAACACTGGACAGAATAACAAATGCCCCGGTCAAGTTTGCTTCATGGGTTTATCGTGTTGTATTAACATGATAGAAATATGAATACTTAAATCTTATCTCAGGTATAGTTTATAACTGCATTAATCATTTACTGTATTATATATTTTTCATGTCAGTAAGATGGTGAGGAAAAGATTCAATTTTCACTGCACAGTCAGAGCGTGTTCCAGATAAGTAAGAGGCCAGGATGGAGCCATTGCAACATGGCTTTCAATTGCAGATCCTATAAAGGGAAGGTTAGCATGTATCAAGCAATATTAACCAGCATCTTTTAGGCCTAGGAAAAATAAATCTCCAAGTCTCTCAGTGCCATCATTATGTTTGCCTGAATCAGATAAACACATACAGACTTTTTTTTTTTTTTAACTTATGAGAGATATTTCCAAACTGGCGAGACTGCTGTGTGTCCAGACCTGATGCTGCTCTTTGCAATGTGTGGGTCGGTTGCTGACTTTCTGTGTCAGTCTGTTAAGGGACGCATGGGACAGGAGAGAAAAGTCCAGTGCCCACAGGGGATCTTTGACCAGGTGCTGAATAGTCAACCCTTATAGGCATGCCCGCCTTCTTTTCTTTTTCTTTTCTTTTATTTTTTGCAGAACTGGAGATGGATCCCAGGGCTTCCCACATTAGGCAAGTGTTTTACCACTGAGCGACACCCCCAGTCCTTTAAGAATTTTTGATTTTTTATTTCGAGACAGGGTCACTCTAAGTTGCTCAGTCTGGCCTCCACAGCCTGTGATCCTCCTGCCCGCCCTCTTTTTCAAGGAACCATGGTACCAGGGAGACATTGGCTGTAAGCACATGGCTAGGTCTAGTGTCTCCGGAACTATAGAGTGTTTTCTAAGAAACAGCCACAGCATGCAGGAGGATGCTTCTCCTGTCTGTAGGTGACAGATGCGACATTGGTTCTTACACGGTCAAGTCCTCCGGTGTCATGTCAGCCTCAAATTAAATCACGACACTCTGGCTGGAGGACAGACAGTTTTCTCAATTGCCAGTTTCAGTGCATGGTGAAGAAGGTTTCGGGTGGGGAAAAGTTTCCTCTTTTAATATAAACTTTACAAAAATTTCAGTACATCCCAGCTCCCGGGGATGTCTTTCTAGAAACCTTGTAAGAGGTTTGTCATGGTCCGTTGTACCCTTTACACTTTCCTGTTTGCCCAGGAAAGTGAAGCAGAGGTCATGACATAGAGGAACTTATTTCTCAAAGTTTGGGGGGGGAAAAAAATCAAAACAGCAGGCCATAGAATGGAAAGGTGAGATGCGAAGACACAAATCACTTCCCAGTCACAAAAATTGCCAAAAAATAGCAGCTTGCAGCTGTGCACAGCAGGGACAGAAAACATTAAACACATGTTAAATAACAAATAGGAGACTTAAATATAGCTAAAAATGGACCTTATTCTGAATAAATCATGCAAGCTGCATCTTAACCGTCCTGAGAAATGTAATGGATCATGTGAAATCTGCCAAATTTGTATTTAAAAAAAAAATCAATAGCGTGTGCCTCTGCTTTTAAAATGACATGATGTTTGGTTCGGGGAGGATGTTCCCTGCTTCCGTTGTCCCCCCCCTTTCTCCGCCACCCCCCCAGCGCCCATAAGACTACAGCTGGATTTAAGAAATTTCACTTTAGTTAAAGACAAGCAAGACATGCATTTGAATAAGTCTATTTTTTTTTGGGGTGGATAAAAACTATTTAACATTCACTTTGCACTGCCTTAGCATTTCACAAAATTGTTCCCTCTTTCTTTTGAACATGTAAAGGAGTTGGCTCATCTATTCTGAACCTTTTTCTTTTTTTTTTTAATTTCTGAAAACCGCACAAGTTCATTTCTCTGGTACTTCGTGTCCATTTTTAGCCCCTGCTAAGACATAGCCATTGCCTCTGGGTCAAAGAGGTTTTTATTCTACCTCCTTCACTGTCTGGGGAGGTGGCGGGGAGGGCATTGCCTTTTATGACAATAAGGCCCAATAAATCTCCAGGCAGAGTATTCAAATCAATCCTTCTGGCAAATCTCCTTGTCTTGAAACGTCTGTGGCCTGTGTATTTCTGTCTTTCGATTATTTCATATTATTATTTTCGACACTGGGTGGGGGGTCAGATTTTGGTTTATCCAGGGTGTCTCTTTTTTGCAGATGAATGCATCTTAATAACGTGAGCGTGACCCCATGTGAGATTTCTCAACTTTGCCTTTATATTGTCTCAGGAGCACATTTTTTTTTTCCTCTAACACACACACTCACACGATGGCATGTGTGGTACACGCACTTACACATTCTTTAGCATGGAAAGGTTGTCTGTGGTCCTACGGTTCCAGCCGCAGTGGAATTCTACCGCAGCATATATATATATATATATTTTGCCATCAGTAATCAGTTGCCAAGGAGTTTAATGTGAGAGACAGGATACATTGTGAGGAGCACCGTGACGAGGCAGACTCACTCTGCGGCTGAGGAAAGAGGCTGTGCGCACAGACACTGTCCCCTGTGCCTAGCATCCTACACGATGCTCTCTTTTCATTTGGAATATTCATAATACCCTCTATACGTGAACCGCAAA